AGTTGTTTTGCTGTCTCTTATACACATCTCCCCCCCACCCGGCGACACACGCCTTGCCAGGTCCAGCACACGTACAGCGACGAGCAGACGGTGAACCTGTCGGACCCCGAGCAGCTTTACTCCACCATCTGTTCGTCCGTGGTAGAGTACGACTGCTTCGGGGTGTTCTTGTCGATCATGCAACACCTGCTCGTCATCCCCAGCGCTGACCTTGCGGGAAAGCAGCAGGTGCGCCGCTGCTGTCTGTTCGTTGTTGTCGGTGTAACTATTGTTGTTGTTGTTGTTGTTGGTGGTTATTGTGTCAGTGGTTTGTGCTGCTGCTGCTGCTGCTGCTGCTCCTCCTTACGTTGTAATTGTTGTTGTTGTTGTTGTCGCTGTTTTGCCTATTTTGTTGTTGACTTGTTGCTGTTGAATTTTTTGCGGTTATGTGGTTGTAGACAACGATTTCGATCTTTTTTTTTTGTCCACTGCTGTTTCGGAGTATGGTCGCTTGCCCTTCCTGCGCCACCTGACGGCCGTCCCTACCGCTGGCGTTGACGGAGATTCAATGCGGTCTGGTGCTTTGCCCTCTGACAACCTTGCAACGTTTGTTGGATTCGGCTCGGTAAGGGACAGCAGTAGCAGGCACACCGGCAGCAGTGCATCGCTTGTCATCACTGATTCGCCCGGTACCACGTCGCCTGAGCCACAGCATTCGGGGTGTCTTTCAATTTTTACCAAGCATGATCAGCGAGATGGTGTCGATGCAGGAGTAGATCAAGCGCCCCTCGCCTTCAATAACAATCTTGTTTGCTACACGGCAAGCGTTCCTCCGTTTTCTCTTTTTTGGTCGTCGCCGTCGTGGAAATCGATTCATCGATGCGTGGTGCCGCACAAATTGGGCGCAGTGGGAAGCGGCAGAGGAGGCGATTCACCAGATCGTGACCCACTCCGATGACGAGTTCTCTCTGACGTACGAAGACCTCAAGAAGATGCTGGACTGGAAGGACCGCCTGGAGGACCTGTCGGTCAAGTGCAAGACGCTGGTGAGTCGATAATTTTGTGAGAAGTTTCTTTGCGGCGAAAATTCAACAAGGTTATTGACCGAGAGCACCTGTCCGTCAAGCGCAAGACGCTGGTAAGTCGACATTTTTCACGAGAAATTCATTTGTGGTGAAGATCAACAAGAATGTTGACATGGGAGGACCTGCCGGTCAAGTGTAAGACGTTGGTGAGTCGATTTTTTTGTGAAGAACTTCTTCGCGGAGAAAATCAAGTCGAGTTCAGAGAGCCTGGCGTTTTATGTGCCACGAGATGGGGATGAGAATCTGTTACGATACCAAACTTCAGTATTGATCTCAAGTCCACAGGGCACCTCGGGCCAAGTGAATAACGGACAATCATCGCGGGCATGACCTCGGACAACAGCTCCATTCGTCATCTCACGCCCCCCCCTCCCCCTTCCGTCCACGCACACACACGCAATTGGAACTCCTTTGTTGTTTGCCCACAGGAGGAAGAGAACACCGGTATGCGTTCCGGAGGCGTCGTTCCCGGAGGGGGAGCGTATCCCGCTGGCCCCGCCAACAGTGGACTGGGGCCCGGATTCGGGCCGGGGCTGGGGCCCGGGCTGGGGCCCGGCTTTGGGCCTGGACCGGGGGGGGGTGTGCCGGTGTCAGCGGCTCCGCCGCCCCCCGGCCCGGCCGGAGCGGTCCGCCCGCCGCCTCCGCTTCCGGGTGAGTTGTGTGTGTTGCTTGTTGCTTGCTGTTGCTGTTGCTGTTGATGTTGTTGTTGTTGTTGTTGTTGTTGTTGTTGTTGTTGTTGTTGTTGTTGTTGTTGTTGTTGTTGTTGTTGTTGTGTCCTCGCTGCTCCAACTGTGGCGAATGTTTTTTTGAGATGGCGCCCACTGCGAGAGTGTCGAGTTCAACCCGGGTAAAGAACCGAGGGGGACGACTCGCCCTGTGTTGCCGCCTTGCCGTCGTTATCCTGACGTAAGGCTCTCAGCTTGTTCCCCTACCTAACTCCCGCCGCTCATTTCAACCGACGCTAAGCTACAAATCCCCTGCCGACCTCATCCTCCTCGGTGTTCCACATCGTCTTTCGCAGGCATGCCAGGGGCGGGGGGGCCCCCCCCCCCCCCCCCCCCCNGTGTTCCACATCGTCTTTCGCAGGCATGCCAGGGGCGGGGGTCCCACCGCCGCCCCCCCTGCCCGGCATGCCCGGGGCTGGAGTGCCGAGCCCGCCCCCGCTGCCAGGGATGCCCGGCGCCGGAGCTCCGATGCCGCCCCCGCTCCCGGGAATGCCGAGGCCGATGGGGACGCCGGCACCACCCCCTCTCCCTGGAGGTGAGGGGTTTCGGAAGCAAAGGGCACCCGCCTGCTATGCGTAGGCCTTGTTTTTCGGAAGCAAAGCGCCTTGGGGAATGGTTTACTTCTTGGCTGCTTCTGTGCAAAATGAAAGTGACCTCCTTTATATATTTGGTGGTCGAGTAGGTTTTGTTGTGCGGGGGTCTAGAACCCTCACTCCGCGCAAGGACCGCCTTTGCGTGCTCAATAAGTTTATGAGGAAATAATACAGGGGAGTCGAACGACTACGACATTCGTTGACATGAGTATTCCCCCATCGGGATTGGGTTTTCGTCGCTTGGCAACGACGTTGTAAAACAAGCCAATTCACTTTGTGAGCTAGGCAACCAGGTTGCCGGTTTTTTTTTTGTCTCTGTGTTTTTTTTGGCGGTGACCATACTGGTGGTCGAGTGGATCATGTTTTGCGGGGTCGAGAACCCTCACTCCGCGCAAGGGGGATGATCGCACCATGCTGTGTTAAAATGGTCAAGCACCCTCGAGGCAGTTACACAGTGCTTATAACTGTCTCTGGAAGTGAAAGCACCAGAAAATAAATGAATTCATAC